TACCCCACAAACGTAAACAAACTTTGATCGTGAAGCCGTGGAGAGAGAGCGCTGAGGGAAGAGGGCAGAGCATCCAGAGCTGTGAGCCGTGTATAGGCTTTTTTCGGGGCTGTGTTGTGTGACCCTCAGTGTGAGTGAGCGTCCGTGGGAGTGAGCGTTTTGTTCATCAAAAAAAAACAAAAAACGGACGAGCCTGAGCTTGTGTTGTGCAAAGCATCTTTGGAATTTGGCTCCCTCGTCCTTCTCTCCTCCGTCTCAGTCCCAGCGCTGACCTGTGTGTCTCTGAGGGTTTGAAATGTCCCCTCTGCACGCTCAAGCATTTCATTGGAAGCTTTGTTTTCCCTACAGGACACCTGATTACAATATTTAAGGAGAGAGCACCCTTCACAATCCTACACTTGAAGGTGAAATGCTTTGTTTTCATTGTGATTGCATTGAAGTGGCAGTTTTATGGTTTTCAGCTTGAGTTAGGACATCATCCTGAGAAAACTCAAGCCAAGACCTTCACTGTAAAGCTTCAAAGCAAGCCTTTAGAGACGCACAACTCCCAGCAGCAAGTTTATATCTTTCCTTTTAAGTATGCACTGCTCTAGATCACTAGCAAAGTCTTGAGTATCTACGATGCATATGGAGTGGATGCATCGGGGGAAAATGCTAGACACCCTTATACTGAAATTAAAACAGGTCTGATGCAAGAAACAAGAAAATTACATTAAAAAACATCATGTTTTGGAAGATATCATAAGTATACTTCCACCAGACTGGAGAAAAAATATTTTTACTGTATTCACTGAAAGCCTTTTCCCAACACAAACACAACACTTTTCCATCCATGCACTGACTTGACTTTCGAGGTCCAGTTCACAGCAAATGAAGCATTTGCTGGGAGGCTGTCAGAAACTCGCTCTGCAGCTGAAGGTAGAAGTGGACAGTATGAGAAGGTGAGAGAGGCTCATCTGTTACCTACGCAGCACTTTGATCCACTGATCCTAAACTTTTTATGCGTGATGAAAGGTAGCAGCTTCTGAAAGAGCTCGTCACTGCTTTGAGAGGAGCGTAAATCAAGAACAGAGCACTTTTCAATTAGACAGTAACTGTTCAAGGCTGGTAGGAAACACTGCTTTGATGCATGTGTGTTCATGTGTGTGTTCATGTGTGTGTGTGTGTGTGTGTGATTTAAGGAGGTGTGTTGCATTTCAGGGCCCCTTGATCAGTCAGACTGGGCTGTAAATCTCGCTGTGTCTCCTGGTTTACTCTGGCCCATAAACTAGAAGGCAATTATGGAAAACAACTGGATGCAAGATTTCTTCAGTCCTGTAAGATTTGTGGTTGCAGCCCTGACAGGATTTTTACTCCCCTATCTACCCGAAAGGAATTGCTTTGCCTCACCCGCCCTCTCCTCCACCCCGGCATCACGTCAAACATCGATTGGCCTCTTGTGTCTTTTGCAGATAGAAACAAGACATATACAGAGTAAAATACCGTACCTAAAGATACTGTATCAGACCTTGGCCAGTGGCCATTTTGTTTGACACACTCATGGTTTATTCATATGGTGTCAGACACATACAGACTCAGCATGACCTGCATCAACCCGTATCCATCATGTCTTACTCTGACCCGGGAAACAGCGAGACAGGAAGACTTCCTGGTCAGAGGAAGTTTAAGTCCCCAGAGTGAAACATTTTATTTGATTACATTAATGATCATTGTTCTGGCTGTATGATATGGGCTTATTAAGAGCCGGATGCTTGAGTGGAAAGTTTTACATCAGGGGGAAATAGTACTTCATGAATACAAACATGAGCAACTTGGGCTGCTTTGATCTCAGCCTGGCGGAGAGCCCTGAGTGGAGTGGGCTGGAGCTGCCTTTGCACAGCTCTCTCTGCCTATTTCAACCATTTGCATAATTGTTATAACTGTCGAGGCCGGCAGCGCAAAACACTTGATAAATGTGGAAAGTATTAGAAGCAGGAAGAGATGCCAGAGTGTCACCGAGGGTGTGTGTGCTCATACATAGTGTATATGTATATATATCGGTGTGACAGTGAGAGAGAGAGAGATTGCTTTAAGGTAGTGTGTGTGTCATGATGAGTGTGCACATACTGTGAGCTGATGGTGAGGCAGCAGGAAGGCCCAGTCATTAGTTTGGATGAGTCCGGGTTTGATCTCCCATGAAGTCATTCACCTGCCAAAAGACTCTCTCCCATTCTGGGGGTTATTGCAATTTTTATCCCTTAAATCATCTCTAAAATATACAAAGCTTGGTTTTCTACCCTCCAGACAGCCACATGGTGTTTTCAATTTAACTTTGGGTAAGCATACTTAATAACCTTTTCAAATAATAACAACCTTTTTTCCAAATGACCTGAAATTCGCTTGAAGTCAACAGTGTTGAGAGCTCATCTTGTTGGTGTATCTTGAGACACTTTTGTATCTTTAACACCTTTGACTTCTTTCATTTTAGCACATTTGTAATCTTTCAAGTTGGATCGTGACATGACATAAGAAGTTGAATGTCCCTGAATGCACAAATAAAAATGTCACACATTGTTGATAAAAAATATTTTTGACAGATTATTGTTATTACTATAGAACTATTTTGATCGTGTTATTAAATGAGTCAGAATTAATAGTGGCCTGCAAAAATATTAAACAACAAAGACATATTTTGGAAATGCTTGGCACTGAGCATTAATATTTAGTATTTTGCCTTTAATGTCTACCTGTTCCATAGATGCCACATAAACTGGTTTAGCACAAAATGAGTCGTCGCCTCCCTCTGGTCCTGTTTATAGTCCGATGCGCTGCGGCGTGTTTGTGTGTTTTATGGTCTCAAGAAGGTTTTATGGCTGCTGGGGGTGTTTATGCATGGAAAGAGAGAGGGTCAAAAAGGTGAAATCAATAGTGATCCTTAATGAGGTTGTCTGAAAAGAAGGGAGGGAGGGGATATGGGGATGATTACAGATTTCACACATTTCCCCCGGGGATTAATATAGTCTCTCCCATTCTGAATAGAGGTGAAGAGTAGAGAAAGAGTTGAAAAGGCTCAAACAAAAAAAAAAAAGACAAAATAAACTATGAAGCCTCTGAGATACGTGTTGGGGTAACTTGGAAATTGGTTCAGTTTTATTGGTCAACAAAGAAAATGTTTAAAAATGTTGGCTTTTTCTGACAGCTTGCAAACCTAATCTCACACAGCCAGACATCAAATAAGTTAAAAATGTATTCAAGCCATGCTAGACTTGGGCACACTGTGTATATGGTGCATTTGGATACACACATTATCGATGGAGACAGGAAGTCTGCACAGAAAAACAGCCGTCACAGAACTTGATTAAATCGTCCATAATGTGTATGCTTACTGAACCACTTGTGTCTGATTTTGTTCTCTGGTTTGTAAAGGAAATGGGACCTGCTGTGGTAGCCTAGTTGGATAAGAGTTATGTAACAGGATTGGGATGGGACATATGCTGCCCATCCTCAGAGAAAAACAAACCATCACTGAGTACATGTTTTAGTGACCCTGTAGTCTTTTTATCTGCCCTTTAGAAATAATGACACGATGCTGCAACATCTGCTTCTTAAAAACAGACATTTTAAAATTGGTTTTGGATTGGGATGGTTTTGGGTGAAACAGGGCTTTGGTTGAGGTCAGTCTGTGTGCATTTGCAAAGCTGTAGTGTTGTGAGAAGCAGAGTTGTTCTAGCTGTGCTCTGAGACAGCTGTCTGTACAGAGAAACACAGCTGATGAAACGTCAGCTCAACATCCTCCCAGGGTGGTAAACTGGCACAAAGTAGAGTTTATTTCAGCAAAGTGGGATAGGGATCTTTCTAGGGTCCAGACTACATTAACTTCTCTATCCTCTACTACTATGTCATGGATAGCCATGACATTTTGCACTAACATTTACAGTCTCAAGAGGAAAAACCATTGAATGGGTTGTTACAGATATTTTAGGCACCCAAAGAATGAATCCTAAATATTATGGTTAGCAAATAGCATTTTGTCTTTTGGCACTAACAGGGCAGTCGTCTCAAAATCTGTAAAAGTATTGACACAAAGCTAGGTATGAATGTTCAAGGTCCCCTAGTGATGAAAAAACATGTTTTACTCCGTGTAGTCCTAATTAGCAAACCCAGTGAGGTTAATGCCTGCTCAGACACTTAAATATAAAACAAATACTAAACATATCCGTCTACACTCCACAAGTTAGCCACGTCAGTGTGAACATGTTGGCATGCTGATGTTAGAATAAAACTCAAAGGAGACTGTGCGTCAGTACAACCTCACACAGCTGCTAGCATTGATGTAGACTCTGCATCTTTACTAAATGACTGTCGCAAACCTTACAGATTAGTGGTTTATCATTTTATCATTTGTTTGGCTCGCTATATCTATCTATGTATAGGTGTGGTGATGTAAAGTCAAGACATTTAAAGAAGTCTTTTTGGGAGCTTTGTGACAGCCATTTTACTACAGCTGTGACATTCCTTAAGCAATTAAGATTATAATCATCAGATTGATTGGAAATTAACACTGCAGTCACTGTGTCACTTCTAAATGTTTCAGTATGAAACAGTACATGCTGCTCCTGTTATTTCCATTTCCATCTATATTAAAAAGGAAATAATCTTCAGAAAAGGTAAAGGGGTAATAATGGATTTGAAGTGTCTAAAAATGTAAATTCTGGTTGGCGTTTTTTGTTTTGGATTTTGAAAATTTCAAAAAAAAAAATCAGAGAATCGAAAAAGACCAAGTACTTTGAGTTTTCTGTTGTATCACTACACTGATTTACACAAGTAAATCAAGTAGTAGATTCTAGACATTTTAAGGGCTGCAATTAATGGAAGAGTCTAGAATGAACAATTATCTTTCATTTAAAAAGTTAAATGTTTTGAAAACAGCTTGCAGATGACTAAAATTGTATGTTGCCAAAAGAAGCATGGTTGTCAACTAATTATTTAATCACACAGTTCTTTTTCTACTTTTTTCACAGAGCACCTCACCCCCCCACAGAGTCCTGTAACCAATGGCAACCTCAGTCCAGACTCTTCCTCTGACCCGTGGTCCCAGTAAAAACTTCCGTAACCCCTTCCCAGCCTCGTCCCTCTCGTCCCGCTGCGGCATGGGAAGTGTAGGTAGTCTGGTGGAGCGGCCAGATGTTTCTCCGACGAAAGGCAGCCGTGCAGTTCCCCAGGTGAGACCCAAACAGACCAACGGCCTCCTGAAGAAAGGTTTCACCCAGAGAGAGCTACTCAACTACCTCAACATCACCAGGTGAGCACTGCTGCTAAGAAGCATGCTTCAGATTACAAGGTACTCTAAAACATGGCAGGGCTTGACCTTAGTTACTGTGCTTGCAACAGGAAAGAGCCTAAAGCAAGCCAAAGCAGCGACGGTAAGAAGGACATCATCTCTGGTCTCAGCTCCACCAGTGGCCGGGAGGACGAGAACTTATACGCCAAAGTGTACAATAAAGACGGCACTGAAGTGGATTTGACTAAAAATTCACTGCCAGGTTCTGGCAAGTATGAAAAGGTGAATGATGTTTTACTCTCTTGTAATTTATTAACGCAACATACACCAATTCAGTTGAATGACTTTCCATAATACTGCTGAGGCCGTTAAATTGTTCAGTATCACATTTATACATCTTTGGCAGTGTGATGCAGCAACCACACAGTACAACATCTCACCAGCATAAATCAACCTTATTCTCCTCCAGCTCACCAGCCGAGATTGAGAATCTATAACTAGCTGTGTTCTTAATTTATTGCAGCAATAAAATCTCACCTTTTTCTCTTGAACTGATCAACACTAAGAACACAGAGTCGAACAGTATTGATTTCATAGAAACATTAAGATTTATGTTTCATAGCTCAGCCCCCTTTGCTGAAAATAAGGTATTTTCTCAGCTACTTTGTTTTATCTTTTCATCCACTTCAATTGCCCTAAACTTTCTTTTTTTCTTCACAGGCTCGGTTTAGGTCCTCTGCCTTCAAGCCTGTCACCCCCAAAAATTTCAGCTCCATGCAAAACCTCTATCCGTCTTCCAAGTCAGAGGATGTGGACCATGGCCTCTCCAACGGCCTGCAGAGAGGCTACGCCCATGTCACTAAAGCTGTGTCCACGTCCTCTTCCTCATCCTCACCTTCCCGTCATGCAGGACCGACATCCAGTGGTAACAAGGTAGCCTAACATTTGTCATAGCACACAAGAAAAAAAAATGTTCATTGACCTCAACAAAACTAGTTGAAAACTGAGCCTTAGCCCACGGAATAAATATGTTATAATTAAGTTACATCGAGAACAGAGGCAAAGCAGTTCACTGCTCATTAGTTTTCATTTTACTCAGGCAGAATTTGTGATAATTATTTATTTTTCTCAGTCTACTTCTCTAACAGTGAATCATAACTGTATAATTTTGAACATGTAGGCTGTGTCCTCTGTGCGTGGGATAAGCCAGGAGGATGATAACCTGTCAGACTCGGGCCATAACTCCATGAACAGCCTGCCGCCGTACAGGCCTCCATTCCGCCCACACCTGACCCACATCAGGTCTGCCACTGCAGCTCTACTTCATATTCAGTGTTGACTTTTTTCTACTTAATTACTGTGTGGGAAGTGATGATTTAAGACATTCAATTGTTTCTGTTTTTTTCTCAAGTGCATCTATGGGCCACATCAACACCATCGGCTCCCTGGATCGAACCTGTCTAAGCCCGAAAGGCGTTGGGTCAGGGGGCATGGCCATTGGAGAGATGGCCTGTCGGAGCATGGCAACTCTGAGTCGTCTGGCTCCATATGGAGGAGAGGCTCCACCCCCTTATGAATGGACACTCTCCATGTCCGTGGAGGAAGTGGTGAGTGCAGGGCAGGCAGACACATCGATGGATATGGACAGGTGGATTTGTATGGATGGATAGCTGAATTGAGGACTTAATGAATGGATGGATGGATGGCAGGAGGGTATGATTTAAAGATTGGTAATCATTTACACTGTCCCTTCAGGTGCGTGATCTTGAAGAGCGCCTGGTGGAGAAAGAGCACGAGCTGAAGCAGATGAAAAGAAACCTGGATGAGAGTGAAGGAGCCATCGCTCAGGTGGATCCCATTTTATTGGTCCGTTAATCATCAATCTAGACATCCACCTGTCTCCCTTCTGAAGTCTGACCCCCATCTGCTTGTCACATGCAGGTATTTGAAGGCAAACAGCGTCTGTGGGAGAAGGAGGTAGAGGAGCTAAAACGCCTATATGCTGCCAAGCTGCGTCAGGTTTCCCAGCATGCACAGCGTTCCCAACGCAACCTGCAGTTGCAGTTGTTCAAGGCCCAGCAGGAAAAGACCCGACTGCAAGAGGAGCTCGAGAGCCTGACGAGGGAAAGGAGCCAAGAGGTTGGAGCTACGGTAAAGCCAACCAGTCCCACTCTGGAGGAGACGCAGTGGGAGGTGAGGCCCTGGAAAGTCAGGGGAAATAGACGTTTATGGCTGGAGAAGCACTTAAAAAGTAGTAATTACAGGGGACAGTGAGATAACTGAATTCTTTACTTGTTTGTCCTTTTAAAGATTATCCAATCAAGGCCCGTAAAAATGTATGTTCTTCCATTCCTTAGTCCTTTTTTCCCCATATATTTCATCTTGCAGGTTTGCCAGAAGTCAGGAGAGATCTCCCTGTTGAAGCAGCAGCTGAGGGACTCCCAGGCGGAGGTGACCCAGAAACTGAGTGAGCTTTTTCAGCTGAAGACACAGCTCAGGGAGACTCGCACAGAGCTGCGCAACAGGGAGGGCCAGGTAGATGCACTGAAGCTGGTCCTGCAGGGGACACAGCGGCGCAGACTCCCCTCTCAGACTGCACATGACAATGAAAAAGGATCTGATGAGAGTCATCCAGCAGGGGCGACAGGTAGTTTAACGTCTCTTACCCGTGTGTACATATCCACACTGTTCATGTTTCAGTCACATGCTTGGATGTTTGAAATAAATACACCGTACATTAGTCATGCAGAGGTCAAAGATAAGGTTTGAACATTTGTTGATACAGCACGAGACAGAACGAGATAAAGCAAGATTCAAAGACTTATCATTAAAGCAAGATTGAAATGATCAGAGTTCATTCAGAAAAAAACAATCTTTGAGGCCTTTTCATTGCCAAACACTGAGCTATTTAAGACCTAATAAATCCAGGCATAAGCCCAGCTTGTACACATTGGAAAATTAAAATAAATAAGTGATCTGTAGCATAAATAATATGCCACAGATGCATGTTTGGCATCAGAGTAAGTAAGGCATCTAATCTAGGCTTCTTATCAACACAGCAGGAGGTTGTTTGAACTATTTTGAGTTTTGGTGTCTACATACTTGGATCTAAATCAGGTTATTTCACCAACCAGGTCAGGAGCAGAGTTTTGCGCCCTTTTAAAAAGCAGCCCGTGTCTTTCATTATATTTTCCCTAAGGCTCTGTTGAACTTTAAGTTAAAGCCATGTGAACTTTGTTGCAGGAGGATGCGGGGGCCCTACAGAGGAGCGTCTGCGCGCTGAGCTCCTGCTGGAGCGACGCCAAAGCGAGGCCCAGGCCATGGCTTTTGAGGAAGAGAGGAAGACATGGCAGATAGAGAAGGATAAGGTCATCCGCTACCAGAAGGAGCTGCAGGCCAGCTACTTAGACATGTACTACCGCAACGAAGAGCTGGAGAAAGATCTGCAACAGCTGAGTGTAGGCAGAGAGCGGGGAGGAGCAGGAGGGAGCAGAAATGGGACACTGGAAAAAGAAGTACCGGACCTGAGGATTGAGAGGGAAGATGAAAAACAAGAGGAGAGACCTGCCTCTGGTTTGCCCTGGATAGAGAGAATTGAATCATCGGAAATTTGAATGTGACTGATTTGCAATGCAAACTGTTTTCTCCCTGTAGTATGGATTCTACGGAAGCTCATTTGTGCCAGGAAAAAAAAGGGTAACTATTTCACAGTTAAGACCCATGCGAAAGAAAGTAGTTTGAAATAAGTACAAAAAGTATAAAAGAAAACTCACCAAGACAACAATGTGGAAACAAGATTACACTAGGTAAAAATCTATATTAAAAAGATGAATAGAAGTTGTTAATTTTACAAGAATAAGTTAAATTTAGAATTTACAAAAAAAGGTTTATGAAAGTATGATTTACTAAATCAAACATGCAGAGCAACATGAAACTACTGTAAGTCAAACTGTTCACTCAAAGTCAAAACTAGAACTCATCCAATCAAGAGATATTTAAACTGTTGAATTAAATGTTTGATTTTAAGCTAATTTTTTTTTTTTTTACTTGAGGACTATTCTTATTTTTTAATCATATAACATATTTTTTTCAAAACCCTTGTTAAAATGGGTTTAATAGGTTCCTCTCCTTTTGCAGTTCTCTACCCTTGCACCCCTGTTGATTGTGTGAAGCCCTTATCCTGCAAAGAGCGGACCAATAACCTTCTGCAGTGTGCTCTTGTTACTGAGGGAAGCTGCACAGAAATACTGTTTCTGCCTCATTTCTCCTTAGCAGAAGAGAAGTGGCCCCTGGACTGACTTCTATCTGTAATAAACCTGTAAATGTTTGATTGATATGCTAACAATTTGTGTGCTCATTTTGAGTTACTTCTTGGTTTGGACTGCTGTACGGTCTTGACAGTAACCAAAGGCTTCAAAGGGATGTATTACATCTTAGCACCTGTTCAGTCTATGCAGGAGGTTTTGTTGATTAAGGATCCACCTGGACTCATGGAGGAAGGCTGCATCTCTGGGTATTGTGGATTAGAGCTTTCTGGTGCCAAGGTGCAAATACTATTTGTTTGTCATTAAGACAACTCTGCACCCTACTAAAGTAACTTTATTTTTCATTTGGTTTTCTGCCTGTGTCAGGTCAGATCTCTATAGTATGTACAAAGTGTCTTTTTGATTTTATTGGCCTTTTTCCATAAACTCTAAGCACACTGTTGTCTTATTTAAGTGGGTATATTTTTGCATCTTTCCATTGCAATGGAAGCGATCAATAGGTGATGAACATGACTGCTCTTCCTATTGGTGCAATTTCTTGCACGCGTCCAGCCAATAACATCCAGTGCATGACCTAGATGAAGATGTTCTCCGCTGTTGTTTATTGTTAACATATGAACGTTTAAAAGCCAGCTCCCAATCGACCTTTTGACATACTGTGACTCTTGTCTATTTACTGAAAGTTGAAGTGTACAGTATATGCATATATGTTTGGTTTGTTTTCAAAATAAACATTTATAAAGTGGTGTAAATATGTAAGTGGGTGCTTTCCTGTCTCATTTTTTGGTGTAAATCAAGGCTTCACAATGCTCAGAAGTTGGCCTTTCTGTTCACTGTTGTACAAAAAGGTATGGAAGAGGTGTAACTGAGGGCTTTGACCCGAGGCTCAGACATTCGGCTGCACTGAGTTGGCTTAAAATCTCCACAGAGCGTGCCAATAAAAAACCTAAGGACAGAAGCTTTATGACAGACTGAACAGAGCAGTGGAGGCTTTTGGGACTAATGTGGCTTTTAGAGGTTTAGCCTTCAATCCTTATCTCAGCCTCCCCCTAGGGCCCCTCCCTGCTTTACACGCCCCCCAAGTCCTCACTACCATCTCTTGCCCGGCAGAGGGGTGGGAGGTCAGCAGGGAAGGAAACATAAGAACAAAATGAAAAAACTAGAACTAAGTGTGAAGGACACCTTGGCTGGTACAAAGCTTTCACACTTTTCTTATCAACACATCATGCTTACGGGTATGCTCAAGTGAGAAAAAAAGACTATATTAGATAATATGCAATGGAAGAGAAGCACAGGCAGGTCTATAACAGATGTATTTTTTTTAAGTCAGTTCATCAACTAAATAGTTAAGAGCTGTGGCTGACTCACATGGCCCCTACTTTGGCATTTAAAACATTATATAAACTAGGGCTTAATATAACTGCACAGCTCGAGTGTCTTGCAGAAGTGGGATGAGAAAACCTCACATTATCTTTCACTATGTAGGAGGGATGCAGTGCAAAATACCATCAGTGCAGTTTATCTGATAAATCAACATGCTTATCCAATTTAGTGGTTATTGAAGTCAGGTATTACAAAATGTGGCAAATGTCCATTTTTAAATCATTCAAATTCAAACCCTTTGGCCTGATATCTACTAGACATTAAGGCTATTAGGTCAGAGTGTGAAAAATACAGCAATAGTGCCACCAAGTGGTGATGAAAGGAGAGCTGGGCAGCTCTTCACCCACAACGGAGCAGGTCACTTAGTTATGGTCATAGCAGGCCACCACCAAATGCCAGTACACACCTCCAATATCCCCTTGGAGTATAAACTTTTATTTTAATTTCAGATGCAAGTATATGAAACATGTTAGAGGATAAATATTTACAATAAAAGTTGCACACACAAAAACAGAAAGAAAAAAAAAAAAAAACATTCAACAAAATGAATGCCAGAAGTATGAAGCGCTAGCGGTCTATCTGAAGGAACACTCACTCGAAGAAGCGATGAATGATTGTCAAAGAAAGAAGGAAAAACAGAGGAAATTCAGTGAAAGTCCACACAAAACATGTGCTTTAACGCATTCCAAATGAAACCAAGATAAAAGGCTTTTGCTAAACTCTGAACTTAAACCTATTGTGAAGTTGCATCGTCTGTGTGAGCTATGCTGGTGCACTGCTGAACAAATGAGCCTCACTAGAGTGTGAGTTGACATCACGATTGTAAAGAGGACAACAGGAACTTGCACTACAAGTATTCTACAGACAAATGCCTTAGACGTTGTGACACGCTTTACCCAAGTGTATGCATACACATCACCAGTTGAATAATATATACAAAGTCCTGTAACACCCAAACTATCAGCCTTTATAGTAAAATCTGTGTAATCTTTGTTTTAATGTGTTCCTTAAATAAATCTACACCTTTAATACTAACTGCAAAGTGTGGTATGAACTGTAACAATGAGCCCTGAGGAAATGTATGGATTTCTATGTTTCTTTTCTGACTCGCTCTCAAATAAAAGCAAAAACCTACGCAGCAGAGGCATTTTCTAAGTATATTAGTAAACAACAGCCACAATGATAATAGGACGTCCCCACCCACGACGAGTAAAGCTGAATCACAAGCCTACAGCCACTGCAAGTCAGACCATACGGCTACCATCACACCACTTTACATCTCCAAATCACATGGTGTGCAAGCTTAGGGTACACAAGGCGGGGCAGTGTGACGTGATCGCACAACAGAGTCGTTACCTGTCGTGTCGTTAATTGCGAAAGTTACCAGTGGGGTTGATAAATGTATTTTGCTGTTGAGTTTAATTGACTATTTTACATGTGGCAGTTGCAATGAAAAGTAGAAACAAAGCACATTTCACAGTAGTATATATTTTTTGTTTCCTTTTAGTCATTGTTAAATACATACATGGAACAAGACAAATGGCATCTACAATGAGGAAAATCTTGCTGGTGCAGTCAGTCCAAAAAGAAAAAAAGCTGTTCCACCTTTGATGAGTGAATTTTTCTACTATTCAACATCCTCCATCAGTGAGTTTCAAGCTACGTGAGGCCTTTATAACATTAAGTAACCAGGGTCACAATAGAGCTCAATTCAAGATAGACCTCCACATGTCCCTTTACCTGCAAATAATACAGCTTCAACACCATTTGTTCTCTGTAGTTTTCCTTGTGTTAAATAGAAGTTTATTACCTTCTGAAATCAGAAACCGCTGATCTATGCCATTCATACCCACACTCACCCATCCATAACCATTCAACTGCTTCTGTCACAAAAACAAAAGAAAAAAAGGAAGCAGTCATTCAACTCAAACAGTCGCTAAAGCAAAGAAAACAAACACAAAGTAGAACACACCTTAAAAAGATAAGCCTATAACTTTCCAGGCATTTGCAAATGACTTTCAATGAATGATCCTTTTTCAGTGGTGCATCTTTGTGAGGCGGTTCTCATTACTGACACACTCCTCACTCTACTACAATGTTGTAGTTGGACCTTCCCCGCTGGACTCTCTCTGTATACTACGCAAAGTTGGATGGTCCAAGGTGGGTTTAAAGGGTGGCCAAGGCTGTCCAGAGGAGCACTGGGATAAAACCTTAATGCTTACAGAAATAGGCCAAGAGGCCAGGGACAGAAGAAAAAGGGCCAGAGCAAATGGTCCTGGAAAAGCAAAGAGCTCCAGGGAACTTCATCCTTACTCAGGAGGAGAGTGTGCGATATCAAAAGTAGATCTGCTTGGCATGTGATGGATTCTGCTCCATGGGGCAGTATGGACATTTCAACCTGAGGACGAGAATAGGGAGGGGAACAGGGAACGGGATGTTATGAGGGGGCATGAGTTCTTGAGTACCTTAGTTGGACCAAAACAGAAAAACTAACTCGGTCAAACTTTACCCATTTATTAATCACAATGACAAATAATTAGAGACAGGTCACAGGCAATCCCTCCTCACCCTGTTTGCTAAAAGTATAAACAGTCAGCTATGAGATACCCCCAAAAGAGGGTTATCCAGTTGATTTGCAATGTTGAAGGCATTTCTTGAGCTGAAATCCAAGCTATCATAGAGGTTAGGGTTAGGGCTAACTAGCTTGTAGGAGGACGTTGCTAGAACATTTTGACTTGATCCTCCGAGTACTGACAAGTGAAGGTAGCTGCTACTATGGATTTATGTAAAGCACTAATTAAGGAGTTGTATGGAACTGTCATAGCATAGAGGCCCTTCTCAGGGCAGCTACTGAGGAGTGGAGCATGTTTGTAAAGTTGGTGCTTACATCGATCAGCCATAACATTATGACCACCTGTCTAATAATGTGTAGGCGCCTCTCTCGTCAATTCAAGGATGTTCGGCCCTGAACTGACCAGACATGGACTCCACTAGACTTCTGAAGGTGTGCTGTGGTATCTGGCACTAAGACGTCAGGTCTTAGAAACTTTTTAGACCTGTAATTGTGACGTGAAGCCTCTGTGGATCATACTTGGTTGTCCAGCACATCCCACAGATGCTCTATTGGCACCTGAACTTATTGTTGTGTTCCAACAGGCCACCTTCATCCATTGCTTTGCAGTCCATTTCTGATGCTCACAAGACCATTGTAGGCGCTTTTAGCAGTGGACAGGGGCACCCTGAGTAGTATGCAGGTATTCAGCGACTTTAACAACAAACTGTGATGCACTGTGTGTTCTGACACCTTTCTTTCAGAACCAGCATTTACAGCAATTTGAGCTTCAGTAGCTCTTCTGTTGGATCTGACCACACAGGCCAGCCTTTGTTCCCGACCCGTATCAATGAGCCTTGGGCGCCCCCAACACTGTCACTGTTTCATTTTAGAACTTCCTTAGACCACTTTTAGTAGGTACTGACCACTGCAGACCAGGTACACTCCACAAGAGCTGCACATTCTGAGATGTTCAGACACAGTTGTCTAGCCATAACAATTTGGCCCATAAAGGTTGCACACATCTTTACCCTTGCCCACTTTGTCCTGCTTCAAACACATCAACCTAAAGGAAAAAATGTTTACTTGCTGTATAAGTTATCCCACCGACTGACAGGTGCTAGTGTGATAAGATTACATGGTTATCCACTTCACCTCTCAGTGGTCATAATGTTATGATTGATCTGTGTATGTCTACAACCTTAAAAAGGCATTGGAAAGTCTGAGTGTCCACAGTAAAGATGTGTGCTTCAATAGTTTAATGCATGAAACCACTTTTAATAAAAGGGGGCTCTTTTCCGTAATATTTGTTTTTCAATTTGTTTCTTAATTTCATTTCACTTCAGTAAACATTTCAAACTTCTGTGTTTGCATTCTAGACTTGCATTTTTTTTTTTTACAATCTACGTAGATCTTGGTTAAAATGCTAATTTGGCTGCTGACTTTCGATATTAGTGTATTGTCATTTACATCTTTTTTTTTTATGTATAATGATTTAGATTTTGACACTTAAATGTGATCCAAGATTTTCACATTCCCATTATTATGATCATCATTAATATTTGAGGCTATATTGCTGACTTACTTCCCAGCATTAGTCAGCTTGTTGAGGGCATCTCTGGAGATGACGTGTCCGCAGATTAGCTTCATGGGAGGATTACTCTCTGAGGTCTGCTGTCTGAGGATCGGGCAGGCGAACACAGAGTGGTACCAGCACTTCTTCCCGAGGTCAATTTCGATCTGAATAACCAGACAGGAGTCAATTAAATGGCAGAAGAGACAGATAAGAAGTGTTAGAGCAATTTTGGACTTTCAGATGGCCTTACAGGCAGCTCGTCTTTGTGCGTCCAGACTCCACTGCACTGTCTCTGCTCGATAACCTGCTTGATGTTCATCAGCACTGGCAAGGCCATACAGCCCGATGCAAAACTGCAGAGAAATAGACACAGCAGCATTGATCACCTTTGAATCAAGAACACAGGCTTGAAACTTATGCATTACTGTTTGTACTTCATGATCAATTCTGGTATAAATGTAAAGAGTTTCAAAGGAAATCAAAGGGGATGTGTGCTGTGATGTACATGGTGTTCTAACCTAACACTGAGTGGAGACTCTACAGAAAGGCCAAGTAAAGCACAGGCATCCCTGGTGAAGATGTTACAGATCTCTGCCCACTGATTCGTCTCCAGCAGACTGCGATACGGAGAGTTATCGATGCCATGACGCAGGTACACAAGACTGCCCATCAAGATCTGAATATCTAGAGAGACAAAAAAGTACAGGTGTTGAAATATTACCCCCAAAAAAATATTTTTTGGGCTCAATAACCATGCATTTGCGTAATGAATATTCCATTCCTACTTGATTGCTTTTATATAAAGCCAAGTGTTGTATGGGCTGTAGAAAGGGCCCAAAGAATATCAGGTTTAAGAAACACAATTTAAACACATCTCAGGTTTAGCATCCCTGTGTGCTTGTATCTGAAACACCACAATATATATATATATATATGTGTTTTTTTTTTTTTGTTTTTTTTACAGTATATTGTGTACCTCTCTGATGCTGGGAGGCGAATGGCTGGAAGTGCCTGGCGTACTGCAGGGCCTCCATTTGGTTGCTGATTCCGCCACCGAGCAGGGAGATGAAGTACAAGCGGTGCAACTTGAATTCTAGACTGCTGTTCAGGTCCAAAAGCCGCTGCCGATTCGTCACCGCCCACCTAAGACATAACAGAAGTAAATAAGTACAGTTAACTATGTTGAAATAGACATAATAAGATCAAGAGCTTGTGGGTGTAAGTAGTGGGAAATGTGTAATTTCTCAATTCAAATGCCTCAGCTATTTTGGTTTTATAGAAGAGGTAACTTCTACGATGATGCCTGAGAGTCCCCAAAGTTAGAGGAGTTTGCCAGGCTTTTTAGAACATTGACACAGTAACTTTATGATGGTGAATGTTTATTTCACTTAAAGTATATATTTATCTGTGCCAATGTGTGTAAAAAGTCAAGCTATTTTATTCTTCCTAATGAGATAATGACAGTCTATTCCAAGGTAATGCTAAGAAGAAAAAGGAAGCATACTCTAGTGCTGGCCTGAGGTCCTGCATCCTCAGTGCTTCAAGGATTCTGTTGAGCTCCAGGAAAGGCTGCTTCATGCTCATATCTATAACTACACCAGACTCCTAGAAAACAGACAGGGGCATTTTAAATGATCAGGACTTGCAATATTAATTAGACAGAAAAAAGTATATTGTTTGAAAATCAGAAAAGTTGCATTAATTGTTCTGCATTTCAACATTTCAAAACAGAATTTATCTTAATGCCAATTTTGGTTATGTTTAAACCAGGTGTTGAAGTCGTCTACCTGACAGAGATCCTCTGCTACACTGAGCATCCCTTGTCTGTACAGGTGCTCCACAATGGTTTCACTCAGGTATTTCTGTCTCTCTGGTGTGTCCCACACTGTCTCTGCGACCACAGCACTGATTTCTGCATCAAAATTCTGCAGAGAAAAATATCAAAAGTTAGCACATGGTATGAATGATAAATGATAAGTAAAGTGGTCAACTGTCCTTACCCGGTCAATGGCTTTGCCAACTTTTGACACGCTGCCATGGATGTCCTTGTGTCGGGAGGCTAACATCTGCACTGTTTCTTTGATATTCTTACAACACTGTGCCATAGTCTGAGATAGCACTGATAAGTCTGCATCTTGTACTCCTAAAGAAAATGTTAACCACAATAAAATGAGAATAAATAATTTTACCACCCAAATATGATATCAATGTGTCAGGTAGCCTTACCGAAAGCAACTAGCTGTCCTCGTATCTCACAAACACTGCGCAGGAGTTCGTCTAGCCTCTCCTCAGACTGGTGGCCGTATATTACAAAACGATGGAGCACTTTCTCCAGCTCCCGCTCAACACATGCACACTGTTCCATGATTCAGACTGGAACACTCACGCACACAACAACAACACCTAGACATGAAAGAGAAAACACAACAAGAAGGAAAAAGATCTAATCCCGAAACTGTTAAATGGCCAAAGATATACTTCTTTTCTGAGGCAAAAATCCATACCAAATAAAAGGGTTTAAAAGGGGTTTAAAATTTGTTGGGAAAAAAACAATTAGTCATTAGTTGTATTTTTTTAAATAATGTTTAATGCTGATTGTAGTTACATTTAGCCCCTTTGCCATTTCTTCCTTTTGTTTGGTTTGTCTGACAAACAGCTTGAAACTGAAAGATTTTAATTTTCTTAAAATTGACCAGCTGGAAGTAGTAAGTCAATTTCGCCCACAAAGTTAATAAAAAAAAAACTTTATTTTAAATAGTTAGAGATCAAATTATATTGTTGGTCGGTCGATTCCTCTCATTTTTTAACATAACAAATTATTTTTCTACATGAAATAGTCACTAAGTACTAGAAAAACACATTTCTGGGCCCTCTATGTGACAAATAATTTAAAAGAACCTCAAAATCCTCAACTACTTACATAAGCCCATCTAATAGAAATGTCAGACTTAACCACCTAATGTTTCTTTAGTTAAGTCTGTAGTTTGCAGCAATATAATCACCCCAAAAAAAAAGTAAAAATAGACTGAGGACCTAATGACAAAGTCGGATCCTCTTACATCATGGTCACAAATCAGTGTCCTGCAGGGTTTGGTTGAACTGATTTAATATTGACACTCATGATACAGATACAGATGTTTCTTGAACGAGACAACCCAAGGTCTAAGGTGCAATGTTAAAAATGACCTTTAACAGCTGAAAGAAAAGGTGTCATGAAGAGAGAAAACACAACACAACACCGCCCAGATTAAAAGTTTGGCCTGCTGTAACACTGCTAACAACTAACAAGGCCTGGACGACACGAAAGGCAGGGACACTGTGTTCTCTGTGGCCTGCTGTTTACCTCCGTGTTTCTCCACTACCGTCTCTAAAATCAAGGTAATCATCAGGTAAATAAACATTATGTTAATCTAAGACTTTATATAGCCACTGGTGTGATCACAGAAACACCTAATCTCGTGTTGTAAATACAATTCGTATAAACTCAGCGCTTCAGAGTTGACTCAGTCGGCTAACAGAGACCGTAACACAGCTAACATTTTAATACAAATAACCAAACGCTTTTAAGTCTACTGAATACAGATAATGCACATTGTAATAGCCGCACGCTATTAATTACGCAGTTTAATTAGATTATGTAATTTATAAATATAACACCAGCTGTCGAACAGCCAACATAAACAAACGCTATGACAGTCGCTGGCTAGCTACAAAGGCTAGCAGCTGCTCGACTAGCTGGTAGGTTTTGGGCAGTAGCTGACTGACAAGGCCCAAATAATTATAGAAAAGAGTGACAACCCGCTTGCCATCACCATTTTGTTGTTGTTTTAACACGCCCGGCAGCTTTCACCATTTGACGTAAATGTATGAAATGTTTAAACAAATACCACTCACCTATTCTGCTAATTAGTTAGCAAACATTAGCGTTAGCCGCTTGCCTGTTATGGCAACACTTGAGCAGCAGTCGTAATGCGGAGCTTCCTGTGTCGCATTGTGCGTTGATATTTCAAAATAAAAGCTTTCTGCCCTGCTGTAAGACAGACAGCTCTCCAGTATGATCACACCAGATTCATTTAGTAAATCACACTTTTGTCATGAGCATGCTGTCATATGTCATACTTTCTGGTGGGAAGAGAGTGTAAACAAAACGTAATGTCTTAATTACTGTATACACAGGTGTATGTTAATGTGTATTATATATATGTAAATTGTACATATAGTAGCCTATATCAAATTGTATATATAGATATAGATTGTATCAAATGTATAATTGTAAACATACTGTACCAAACTTTATAGATATAAGGATTGTATAAATATATAAAATGTAAATATAGTACATCAAATTGTACAAATAGATATGTATAGATATAGATATATGGATTGTATAATATACAAATTATTTAAAAAAAAGTCATAGTATATCAAGTTGTATATATGTATGGAAAATCATTGGATTGTAAATATCAAATATAATATCATAAATATAGTATAGCAAATTGTATATAGATAGATTAGATTATAAGGAACACAGGAAGTTAATTTAATTTAATAAATATTAATTATTGAACTGTGGAAAAGGGGTAGGATTAAATAAGTTTTATACTTCTTCCTGCTCCTTTTCAGGCATATCAATTGAATATATGTAATTTGCTTTTTCTTTTTCCTTTTTTTGCTAAATAATTTGAACATTGTTTTTTGTTTTTTGTATTTTTGTGCTTTTCATTTTGTTTTGTATTTCTGATATGTTTGATTTTATTTGATATGTCTGAAATAAACTTAATCAATCAAAGCTAATGTTAACTATTTTACGTGTGTATTTTTAGAAACTTTCATATTTAACAATGTTTTAGTCGGTCATGTTTTGTATGCTAAGTCTTTATCATCTACAAAGCAACTTGTAAGTAGGTCAGTCCAGAGTTAGTAGTGGATATTTTCAGATGAAATTTTAAGCCTAAGTATAAAGTAGCCCGTGATAAACATAGCCTACCTTAGGTATCTTAATCGTGTTTCTACTCATAACTAACAAAAAAATGCAGTAATATAAGACCTTCAACTTGTATAGAGCGTGGCCACTTAATACTCAAACACAACCTGAGAGAGCAACTAGGTCAGATTAAAAAAAAAACATGTATTTGTAATGTGATTACATATTTTTACTGTTTGCCATAATAACCAGCACGTCAACATCGTGAAACTGGTCTCTCCATGTGACATGGTAAGTCATGTATTTTTTTTATCACATAGAAGGAGATTCTTTGCAAGACAACATTTACCTGTGCTCTGCATGGGGACAGTGAACATCAGCATCTCTACCAAGCTTCTTGTCTCAGAAGGTTTAATACTTTTGAACACTTAAATCCATGCAACATTTATCTTGCACTGCTTACGCTGAAATGTGTGTTGCATTGCTGGTGGTTAGGGTGGGTGAGGTCTTTGGATTTGCGCAGGCTGACTAATCTATCAGTGATGTGGACTAAAGCTCCCCATTGCTGAGGTGCTCATCATTCTTTCCCTCTGAGTCCTCCTCCTCAATTTATTCAATCTCCCTACACTTCAGCTCAAACTATCTCCTACCAGCCTACCACTTATATATTTGCATTTAATTATGCTGCACAACCTTTCCCAACCTTATTCTCCTTAAATATCAGGTTTTTCTTTAAGTCATTTTATTGTTTATTTTTAACCACATAATGAAATCATGTAGCTATACTACCAATAAGTCCTAATTATAGATCGTTAATAACTGTTCAGAGGAATAATTCATGTTTGTTATGCCATCAGAGCCTCAAGTGAAACATGAAATCATTTAGGCGCATATTGAAAGGGTCTCTTGAGTATATTAATGCTATGAGTTTATACTGAGTTCATGGTTTATTAAAGTATAGCTTTTATAACTCTGTGAAATGAGTCATAATGCAAAACTCCACCAAGGTAAGGACTCAGTGTCTAGCTAGCCATTTACATTGCACTTGTAATGTAATGTAATGTAAATGCAGCAAATAGAGGTAATTGTTATGGAACCTATCTTAGAGATTGTTGACAGTGACGAGTGATCTTTCAACCTTTTCATATGAAATTACAGTATAATAAATCCTTAGTCACAGCCTTGTGCAACTTTCAGTCTGGAATGCAATCAAAGATTTTCCAACGGCTTGCTCTGAAATATTTAATCACTGAGCATGAATGGTAATCCCATGAGGTATTAGGTGAGGGACAGAGGGTTTATCTAAAAACTCACTACAATCAGACATACCCAGACAGCCTCAACGTGGCTAAAGGGCACTGTTATAATCACACAAATAATTAGTTCAGTAAAATAACATGATCACCATCCTTGTAGTATTGTTCTTATTTTTGCCATTTGATAGGGAAGCTTTTTTCTTTCCTTTTTACCTGTAGTCTGTGAAGCTAAAATATCCAAACATTAAAGAAAAGAAAGAAGAAGTGACTTTAAACCTCACTTATGAAAGTTATACCAGCTCCCATGCAAGCACAGGAGCTCTGCATATTAGCTGTCAAAGTCGGATGGTCTGTGTCAACCTTTGACCTGTTGTTCTTCAGCTACACCTTTGCGTCAAAACGTATTAACGTAAACAGTATACATACACATACACAAATAAATAAACCAGAGTAATTAAAATTTAAACACAAAAATATCAGTGGCCATGTGTGGACTATTCTTAGAGCTGGGTATTTTCCCTTTCTTTACCCACCAGGCCCAGGCAAAAAGCTAGAGCTATGGCTATCTGGCCTTGATAGTATGGGTCTAAATATAGAGGTGCCCTGTGACTGAGCTTGCTGTAAGTGTCAGATTCCTGGCGCACTCATCTATCCTGGCTGGACCAGCACCTGCTGCTAACTATAAACCCACCCGCCCACCCACCCCCATCGCTGCTCACCAGCCCAGCACACACAGGATAGCCAATGTCCAGTCAAACTCTTGTCTGGAGAAGAAAAAAGATTCAGGCTAGACTCGGTAAGCATTTTCCCTAAGCCCAGCTCAGAAGGGAGGGGCAGAAATAGAGATGGGAGCATTGGAGGATGAAATGGGCCTAAGCGAGATGCCTCTCTTTGCTTTTTCTATTCAAGTGAGGTACATGGCACTGTCTTTTGCATTCTGAAGTTGTCCAGCCAGAGCTGCTGCACTGTTTGAGTGAGTTAAGTTGCTCAGTCCTGGATTCAGCTGTGGAGTTAAGAGACAGTTCCCTGAATGAGGAGCAGATATTGCAACCTAGAGGAACTCAATGCCCTTAGGAAAGCCCCACTATCGGCCAAAGGTACAGTACCAATCATTCTGTCTTTCTGTATTAGCACAAGAAGCAGACTGTCTTTCTTTAGTCAGTTCTAACCCAAGGTTATGCTATTGGTAAAGTTCAGATCAGGGTATGTGGTTGTTAAAGATAATCTAGATAAATTGTCACTTTGGATATATGTTAGATTTAAAAAATCTTAGTGACATTCAAAAGAAGTTGCACATTACATAAATTGATGAGATCACATGTGTAGGTACAGTGCATTTTGAGTACTAATACTAAGTATATTTGGTATATTCCCTTTCAAATTGCTAGCTCCTGCCTTTTAAGGCATAGTAACATAGTTATATCAATGTTCTGAAGACCTTTTGGAGGTTTACAGTTACTCTTTGAACTGTAGGTATTCCCAAATACTTGATGATTTAAGCTAAATTTGTTATTGGAAAGCGAACAACCCAGAAAAAAATTCAAAATGTTTAACATTTACATGTGCTTTTACTCAAGTTTTGACTTGTAGTGATATTATCACTGTTACTGATTATATAAATGACTAAGCTACACACACTCTAGGTGAACATATCTTTTTCCAGTCCAGGAACAGAGCCCAGAGCAGACTAGAAGAGCAGACTGGATCGGCCACGGTGATAACTTGGAGCTGGTGGACAAGCGATGGACAGCTGGACTCTCCAGGGGGACAGCTACTCCTTCCTGCGCACTGCGCCCCGTACTTTGTCCTTGTGTCACCGTGACGGTACCCCTAACCACGTTGAAATCTTTGACATCATTAACGTCCCAAATCAAAGCAGTGTCATTTCAGAGACCACCTGCCTGTGTGACATTTTTGGAGACGACTGTGAGCCACCCTCTCTTTCAAGCAACCCTGCTGTAGTGCCTCTTGTCCCTCATCAGAGGGAGGTGGAGGGGACAGCTGCTGCATCACCCCTGGTGGATGATCTGAACGACTCGTCAGGTTCTTATCACACTGCACACGGCTCCAGTGAAGGAGAGGAAGGCTTTGAAGATTCAGGAGAAAGGATTTACAGCCCCACTTTGCAGAGTGAGTCTTTGCAAAAGACAGAGACAGAGGGCCCAGGTCTGAACTCTGGGTATCCAGAAGTTTCTGTGGACAGTAACCCAAATTTAGAACCAAAAAGCCAATCCCCCTTACCCAAGCTTAGTGCAGTTAGCCCATCATCTGAAGTTCTCACCAATGGTGAGAGAACCCCACCTCCTGGACATAACAGCTCCTTCACACTTAGTCCAGTTGGAAGTACATCATCCTCATCTTCTCCCTCAATTGAAAACAGATATTCAACATCACAACAGAATCCCAGGCAAGTTTATTCAGAAGATGAATTAAGTAGAATTACCCGTTCCCTCAATAATCCCTCATATCAGTGTTTATCTTCAAGTTCCTCCCCTCTGCCTATAAATTGTGTCAACTTATCCTCTGAATCATCAAATCCCCAATCTTTAGCTGAGGTCACAGTAGCACTAGTCTCACCTGAACCACAAAGCAACTACTTTAGTCAAAACAGAAGTCTTTTATCTGAGCCATCTGAGCCCACATTCAAAGATCTTTCTCCAGATCTTTCAGAATCAGACTTAAAATCTAGCGCCACCATTTCATCTCCTTTGCCTTCTTTCAGTGGTACAGAGTTATCACCCGTTTCAAGAGCTTCATCAGCTCAGTCTCCTGAGAGAGAAGGGTCCTACTCCCCTGATACCCAAGCATCATCTCCTTTTCCAGAGCTAAGAAGGAGGATCTCCTTGCCTGATCTATTCAGCCGAGGCTCTACCCCAGATAGAGAAGCTTCTTCTCAAACTCCTGAGCTGATTCCAAATCCTCCCACTGCAGGAAGAGACACGACTACTGAGTGCCAAGATACAAGGTTATTCACTGAACCCATCAGTACTGTGTCTACACCTGCCCCACAATATACACCTCCCTCACCTATCATTTCTACAGCAACATATCCTGACCTTGTGGAGAGTAGTGTCTCATCTGGAGTACGAAACACAGCTTCCTCACCTTGCCTGATTGGTGTTATTTCTCCAACTAAGACTGGATCAAGAAGTCCCTCTCCTGGCCCTTCTCATAGAATAAGACACCTTTCAACACCTTCTGAAATCGAGACGAAGGTGTCTTCACCTATAATAAGTTATAGTTTATCACCATCACCTGAAGTTACTTATAACTGCTCTCCCATAGAGCTCAGACATACTGGTCCCTCACCTGAAATCAAGATTACAGCATCTTCACCGGAGTTCAGTAGGAGAGAGCGTTCCTCTGAGTCGAAGTCAACATCGGCCTCTCCCCTCCAGGAGTCTTACTTTGGTTCGGCCTCATTGAGAAGCCTCACTTCATCCCCTCATATCACTGGAATTTCTTACTCTGTCATTCAGCCTGAGGACAGGGACAGTCCCCTATTTCCGGAACTCCAGCGTCTCTCCACCCCTGAGCCTGATAGGACACTTGTGTCCCCAGAAGCAAGCCTTACCACAAGCAGAAACAGTTTACTGAGCAGTATAGCAGAACCCACTGGTACACCAGAAGACTCTCCGCATATATCAGGCTTCTCAAGCTCTGTCCTGCAGCCTGAAGTAACACAACAACACAGGTACCAAACATCTTCGCCAAAGCATTCAACATCCTCTCCTGAGGCAAGATTTCAAACCCCCTCACCTGACAAGTATCAAAGTCTTTCCCCCAGGGTTAGAAGTAGAGATCCATCACCAGTTGCCCCTTCTCCTGAGCTGAAGTATCATCAGCTTTCACCAGCAAACCTCTCTACAGTGAATAACCCTCATTATAAACAGCCCACCTCTCCTCTAAAAAATATACCTGATGTTGAGGAGAATTCCTCCTCAGCTGATTCTAGAGAAATTCTTTACACAACACATTCGGAAAAAGAGAGTGTGTCACCCTTCTTTGCATTGAACAGCGGAGAAAAATCAGTTGTGGCTGAAAACAAAAGCCGGTCACCAGTTGTTGCTGTTCATTCACCTGAATCTATTTCACCTTTCTTAGCTGAGGGAAAGATAGATAGTTTACCAAAACACCAAAGCTCAGAGAGAGAGGAAACACCTCCTCTCTCTGAGGTTAAACAAACTATTTCTCAGAAAGAAGAAATTTATAACCTTCCTATTGGAATAAGGTCTCCTTCACCTAATCTGATCATATCTCAAGGTGGGACTCCAAACATTTCTGTTGTGCACAGTGCTGCTTCTAACTCCCCTCTACAAGGACTGGAAATCCCACAGCCTACATTCACTACCCTGAATTCTGAAAGCATCAGCTCATTTAAATCAGCTTGTACACCTGAGCACACAAGAAAACAGATCTCAAACCGTGTAAAACGTGAAAACAAATTGAGGTTAACAGAGGACATGGCCCACCATGAATACAGAAGGCGAACTCCCTCTCCCCCACTCACCAGGTTTACACCTGTCCACATCCTAGCCCCTGAAAAACCATACAGACACTGGCAGAACAGAAGCTGTAGCCCCTCTCAGGCTGTTACATCTTCAAATAGTGGTAATTTAAAGAAAGTGGTAACAAAAAGGGAAAGTCCCAATGTTGCCCCTATTGACAATAATAGCCAGGCTCACTGGGTCAGGCTAGGAGCACCACTGGAGATGGAGAAGCAAATACAGCTGGAGGAAGATAGAGAAGTTGTTAGGGAAAGGCTCAAAGATAGGGAGATGGATAGAGAGCGAAAAAGGGAGGAGCAGGTTCTTGAAAAGGGGAAGGGTTGGCAGTGGGACGCCAGTTACAGAGGGGAACAGGCTGAGCTGTCATTCAATGCCAGGAATAGAAAAGGGCCTGCGACACGCAGAACAGCTCCCACAAGCAGAGAGATTCGTCAGGGACTGCCAACAGTGCAATCCTATTCAGAGAGCTTGCTTGCCACAAGACGACAACAGCAACACAGTCTGCTTTCTTCCCAACAAGATCCAAGGAGTGTTGGACCTAGCAGACGGATTCAACCTTCCGCTCTGCAGAGCAAGAAGACTACCCCAGGACGTGTGGCTTCAAACAGGCCCGGCCGGAGTTCCAGCTCCAGCATGGGAAGTGAGCTTGATGAGGCAGATAATGAAGTTAAGTGGTTAACAGATGTGGCTTTCAGCAGCCTGTCAAGCCCTGACATAGATTACCTTGACATGTACAACTCCAGCCACCGTTCCTCTACCAACATTTCTCAACCTTCTACACAGGAGAGCCCAGCTGGGGTCAATGCTGCCTGGCTTGCTTATGCTGACTTCAGGGGTTCTGCTCAAAAGCTAGATAATGATGAACTCTCCTTCCAGGAACCATATACATACTTCTCAGATGGCCTCGATCCATTAAGGCGCAATGAGTTGGGCAGCTTTGAGTGTGTAGATGTTGCTGTGGAAAGAGAAGACTCTAGGAAGGCGAGAAGAGGAGTGCCAAAGAGACAGATCCAACTGAAAAGAAAGAATAATGCTGAAGGGAAGCAAGATGAGAGCAGTGAAAATAGTAGTCCTGGGGTACCTATTATGACTGAAAGCCCCTCTCTAGAGAGTCATTCTAGTGAGACATGCATGAGACAGCATATTACACCAGCAGCAATGCAAGAATGCTACCCTTCTGAATGCAGTCCTGAGCCCAATCAACAACATGAAAGAAACTCCAAACTCCAGAAATCTGCTTCTCTGGATGAGTCATGTTCTAAAACCAAGTTGGCCACGTGTCTTATCAAAAGTGTGTTGTCCAAGAAGATGCAAAGTGTTGATGAACAACCGGATGAGCTGGTGGGTGAAGATATAAGCCCCTCCTTTGAGGAAAACAGCCCACCAACCGAGACTGTAGCATCATCGCTCAAAGAGTCCCCAAAACCTACTCTGAGTTCAAGTCTTCAGTCAGATTTCAGTATTTCATCTGAGATTCTTTCTGTGAAAGGAGAACCAAAAATAAAGGATGAAGCTAAAACAACAAAAAGCTTTGGAGAGATTTCAAGTATTAGGACGAGTTCATCCTGCAGCAGCAGAAGTGTGATTTTCTCACAGTCTGAGAGTGAAGATGCTGATTCTGAAAGCAGGAATGCGACCTCAAGATGTGAAAGTAAGTCAGAAGTGAAAGTTAATAGTAAACATTCAAGAACTGCAGTATTGAACGACAGTAAAACATGGGACGAAAAGGAGAGTGGTGAGTCAGCCAATGCCACTGCCAGGAATACAGTAGCTTCTTCTGTCACTAGAGCCACCAGCATGCAGGCCAGGATGACAAATAGAGACCAGGAATGTGAAAACACAGAGGACCATAAACAATTGCAACAGGGTGACAAGGGCGCATACACATCAAACACACAGGCGATCACACTCAAAGCTATGGAGAAAAAGAAAGCCTCTCTAAATTTCTGCCTGACCCCTGAGGCTGACGACAGGCCCAGGGGTCCTTCACCAGATAAATCTTCCCAAAAAAAGGAGGAAAGGAAAGAGGCCGGTGTTGATGACAAAGTAGAGGAAGAAAATGATAGTAATCAAGTAAAGGTCCCCATTCACAAAGTAAGAGATGTGAGGCGGCTTGTAAAAAACACATATAATCTGTCCTTCAAGGCAACTGGTCCTATAGTGCCTTCAACTGCGAATGAAGAAAAGATGCAACATTTTAATCAGGAGAAAATGGACAGAGTGAAAGAGGAAAGGATGGAAAAGGTTGAATCAGAGCCAGAGAGGAGGGAAGACAGGGAAGAAGAGTTCAGGTTGCAGAGGAAAATGGAACATAAAGAGGAAGTGAAAGACTCAACCTTATCACTGCCTCTTCAGAGAAGAAGAAATCCTCTGTCTCGTCCTCAGCCAATGCAAATAGAATATAGGGCTGTGTGCTCTAAAGATGAGAAAAATAAAATATCTTGCAACAAGAAAGACTCAGAGAGCCTTGATGACAAATCTCAGGCTACTCCAAAACTTCCCATGGAGGTAAGCAGGGAATCACAGATGTCATCAAATGAAAACACACAGAATTACTCAAGGAGAGACACAGCAACTTTGACTCCATGTCAAGATGATCAAAATATGGCGTCAGTGAGACAAGAGACTGTGACAATAATGGATAAAGTGACAGCCAATGAGGACAAACCTGTTAGAACAGACAGAAAACCTCCCATGCTGGGAAGTCTCCCCAGACAGCCCAGTAAGGAAAGAGAGGTGTCCACTGCTGTAGTGTTGATAAGGGATGGCTCCAGCAAGACCAAGGCATCTGCAACTTCAGTACATGAAGATATTTCTACAAAAAGCCAAGCCCCAGCTGCTTCGCCCTCACCTGGGCCTGCTACCCCTAGCAGTACCCCTGGTCACTCAGTTTCCATGCTATTAAAGGAAAAAGGCTACCAAGCAGACATTGGAGCGGTGGTAGGTGACAAGGAGAATGCAGCTGGAGGTAAAGGAGTTCCCCATAAGCATGTAAACTGCCTTGAGATCCCCCTTCAAGCTCCTTCTTCCTCAGATGAAGGTCAGATCCAGTATCACAGAGAAAGGACTTTTTCATCCTCTTCGAACATGTCTGGCCCCTCAGCAGCGTCTGAAAATGCGGACAGCCTAACAAAGACCACAGAAGATGAAGGGGTTAGCATGAAGCCTACAGTAAAGGATGCAGCTAAACAGAAAAGTGCTTCTCTGCTTTTGAGTATGCATGAGCAAACACGGCATCCTACCAAACAGAAGGAACTTGGAGATTTTGAAGCAGTGAAAAGACTTGATCCAACTTTTCCCCCAAGGTCCCCCGCTATAAGGAGAGTCAGACCTCATACAATCGAGGTTAAGTCATTGTCTAAAGATACACAAAAGCAAGATATGTCCTCAAATCCTACAGGAAACAACAGACCTCAAACCATAGAAGTTAAATCAATAGCAAAAAATTCACAAAAGCCAGTTGTGCCTCCCAAACCAAGCTGCAAATTTAAACCTGCAGATTTTGGAGCAATACCAAATGATGCAGAGAGACCATCTGCAACAACATCCAATGTAAAGCCACAAGGTGAGGACAGGCCTCAAACAATAGTAGTGTCCTCACCCACAATCTATAGAAAAATCTCAAATGAGGCCACATCAACATCACACAGTACAAGAAAGCTAGCAGTGTCTGCAGTGTCTAGCATCAAACCTCCACCTTGCAAAACAACGGCCACCACCATCACCAATCTCTCAAATCAGTCATCAGCATCATCTGAGACAGATGCATCTACTGACAGAGATCAACTGCCAAGAGCCCCCCCTCAGAGCTCTAGTTATACGCAAAGAGCCACAACCTTGGTAGCTCAAACATCATCCACTGACCCAGGTTTAACCTCAGATCCCGAGGCAGTTTCTGATCCACATGCAAACCAAGTCCCTGCACCTGTCCCAGCTGGAGCCAACCAGCAAAACCAACCAGCTGTTGTGGATCAAGATATCCAACCACCACAACCCAGAACGGCACATGCTCATGAACAAGCTATGCCTGTAGCTTCAAGCAATACAAAACAACTGACTCCTTTTTCCACCACACAAGTGCCAGGATACACACACCAGACATACAGACGCTCACTCTCACATGAGCGCGCACACAGGACAGAAGAAATGCATTTTTATGCCTCAGATGATCCTCCTAGTTACGATGACAGAGAAAGCTTCAGTCCTCTAATGCTCCCAGATCTGACCACCAGGAGGACAAATCGATACCAACCCTCCACCCGCCCTCCTCCCTGCTCCTGCACTGCTGGCTGCCCTTCCCACCCTGGTCTCACTCCCCCTCACCGCAGCCCCCATAACCTCACCCCTCCTGCCCCTACACACTCTCCTGGCCAGGCACTACCCTACCCAGTTGCTCAGCCCCCTCTCCGTTCACACCAGTGCAGACCTGACCCTCAGCCAATGACCTATCAGCCTGGTTCTCCAAAATCAAGTCCACTTGGTCCATGTCAGCCACCAGTCATGTATCAGCCTCTTCACCATCCTCCTCCCTGTCCTCCCCACCCCTCACTAATGCATGCTTGCCCTGCGGAACGTACATTGCAACCATCTCAGCACATTGACCCTCGAAGAGCCCCTGTCCACAGATCCCCCCAGCAACAGCCTCCCGGTATGGCTGGGGCTCCTTACAGTGATCCTGTCCATGGCCACTCTCCTGGCCTTCCACCTATGGATCCCCAGTATCTTTGTGGCCCTCAAAGCCTGGGGCCCTCCTATGGCTCTGACTACGGGGGTGACAGCTCCAGTTTATACTCAGAGAGCACTTATGGACAAGCACCTCGCAGAGTGCTCCTGGATCCTGAAACAGGGAAGTACTTTTATATTGAGGTGCCTGTTCAGCCACTGAGGAAAATGTTGTTTGACCCAGAGACTGGCCAATATGTGGAAGTGCTCATCCCACAGCAAGCAATGTCACATTCAGGCCTGTATCCTCCCTCAGCAGCTCCCTACCCATCTCTCCACAACCCCAACATGTATGCCCCTGCTCCACAGTACATGCCCTATGCAGCTCCTCCTCCCCCAGCTCACCCCCAGACTGAACCTCATCCACCTCGGTATCCGGAGCCCTCTGCTGCAGCAACAATGCACCCAGGTGGACCTGGGGTCAGCTACAGGAATCTCTCTGCTCAGGGGTCCAAGCCAGAGCCCCAGAACCATCCACCACTGGACCAGAGCTACCTAGAGAGTATGTATTATGTCCCTACAGGGATGAATGCAAGCCCCAATACAACCCCACCAGACTATTACCACAAACATCCCCCTAACCTACCCCCAACGGGGGGGAAAAGATCCTGAAATAGAGGATTGAGGTCGCCTTCCTGGAGCCTGTTGGGTTTTAAATACACAGAGTATAAAGGGGCTGTCTAATGTTAGCCTGAAATGTTATTTGAGTTTTCACATAGCAACTGAAGACAGCAATAGTTTGGTTGTTGATCATTTGCTGCTTCCTGTTCTGTCCTAGGCTGCTTTAAGAGAGCAATATAAATGATTCTTAGTAAATTGTTTTTTGAAAAGTCAACAGAATTAGCCTTTTCTTTGTGTGTGCTCTTAAGATCATTACCTTAATTTAAATGATTCATAACAATGTTGTCCTTTTTGATACAGGGTAAGAACATCATACACAGATGCAATGCACAGGCACAACAAATCAACATGTTTACTGATTTACTGATGTGTCTATTTTTGCAACAAATATCTCCCAAAAACTTGAAAATGCTATTAAAAAAGAACCTCATATTTATTTTATTATTATGTGTCTGTTATATTGAATGGTGATGTTTTCAAAAATAAATCAAATCAAATATTTCACATGTATTGCTCTTTTTGCCATGCCCTAATCACTTTTTATTTAGATTTTAAAATAAATGAACCATTCCATGATTTGTTTACAAGTCAGATTATGTGAGTAAAACTCTACTGTCATTGTACTTTTAGGTTAAACAGTCTCTCAAGAACTTAGATGAAATAATATTGTACTTTGTAACATCTTTAGTATTTTTGTAAAAACAAGTTGCATTTACACTGAAATTGTCCATGCTCCTCATTAACTGTTGGCCAGCTCCTGCTTTGACACAAGCATTGCAGTTTTTTAGATGTTAATACGTAAGGTCTCAATTGACAGTGAGAAACAATATAAATAAACTTTGAAGCTGGGGAAAGCAACTTAAGAGCAACTGGCAGATGTAAGTTAAAAAAATAATTTTCCAAATGAAGAAATGCCAAAGCTAATCCCCACACCTGAAAATTATCTGCCAGACTTGTATTGCAGGAAATGTCCATGAGTGAGTGCCACATGCACAACAGTACCATCTATCTTTCTCTGATTTCTAGTTTGACTAGCTTACTTAAGTTAGCTTGTTGTGGAACACTGCCTATGAGCAATCATCCCAATAGCAGCAGGCCAGCAGATAGGCAGACAGTTAGGCAGACAGAATTATTAGCTATCTAAGCATTTGATTGAATCTAAATACATTGATTTGAAGGAGTCATTATAGGCATGTACACACAGATAACAACCGTTTTTCTAATTTTATTCATACAATGCTTTTAAATCAATAAACGCAATCAGGGTTAGAGTGAATTTAATCAAATTTAACAAAAATGCTTCTAAAATAAATTGCCTACCCTAGCTTTAGTTAAATCAAACCAACTTCTCAACCTTTTAGTAATCATTTTACTCCCTATTATATTTAGACTTAGTAAACATTATTTTTCAGCACAAAGATGTGTCCCCTATTCTCTGCTGTAAATTTGTGTGTAAAACAATGTTGTACTGTGACCACTGGAGGGTGCCACAGACCACTAAAGCAGCACAGGAAGTCCCATCATGAAGGTATGTCTGAATGCTTACCTCTCGTGAGAAGACCCAGCCACAGTAAAAAACAGTTAATGACTACCTAATCAAAACCTCACCCTTTAAACTGAAACCAGGACCTTATGTGTTAGTCCAGAAGGACCAAATCTCTCTTTTTCTTTGATGTTGATGACAGTTAAACTAATGAGAGGTCTGACCAGTAGCTGTGAGGGGCCTCAGCGTCTTTGTGAGTGACTATGTATGCGCACGTGCATGATTAAACAAAACATCTGGAAGAGGAAACATAAGAGTTAGTACGTTCACATCTGGAGGGGAACACTGACAGCACATGGCAAGTGCTGTGTGAAGGCAATCAATGTGGTAGATTTTGTGCATTGGAGACCTGCTTCGACAGCACTTGATACAAAAAGGGAGGATGTGATGTCCTATGAATTAAAAGGAGGCTGATTTAATCCCAACAAGAGCCAACAAGTTACTGAACAAGGAAACTGAACCTTTTCCAGTATCCCAAGTTACACAAGTGAGGGAAAAGGGTGCTGCCAAAAGAACTCAAAGCAACCACATGTAGCAGTTAAACACTAGTAATATCAAACAGGAATACCAATTAATTCAAATTCAAAATGACTCCAATGTTAGCCTACAGTTTCAAACAATCGACACATTCCTCTTCTTGTCTTCTGACACAGATAGTGGACTGCAATGTCATTGAAGTTTATTGTCATGATCCTGTTTACAACCTGAATAATGATTACAGACACACCTTTTGAACACACACACTAATCTGTTTAACCCCCCAGCACACTTAAATCACTTCCAGACAAACCCACACATCCCTTCCACACACCTTGGGCCTGTTCCAAAATCCACACAGATGTGATGTATAAAAGACCTGTCCGTTTATATATATATGTATATAACAAAGCAAACCTGCTACTTCAAATAGGTCTCAGCAGAGTTTGGCTCTACTGTTCAGAATGCTTGATCTCACTCAAATTCCAAACAATGTGAGACCATACTGCCAAAGAGCCCATGTCTAAAATCAGTGTGTTTTAATGACATTCCCAATTGGATCGTTCCAATCTGATTGTACTCTCAAATATTTTTGAGGTCTAACGAGCGAACATTCAATAAGAATATCAGTAGAGCTTCTTCGTAATAATAATAATTTAAGATTGATGCACATTTTCCAGACACATCCTCCACCTCTTGTGTGTGACTATGTTGAATTCCAGTCGAATATGCACACAAAACAGACAGCATGACATCATTAGGAGGGCTCCTGACTCTTTCCAGTGTTTCTGTTATTGTTATAATTCTATGAAATTACCACTTTTCTAACCCCCCCCCCCCAATGCAAACACACACACACACACACACACACACACATACACACACACTCTCTCTGTAAGAGTCCTTCATCCACGCAGCATCCTGGGATGAGTGGGTGAGTTTGATTCCAATGCCACGTTTGAAGTCTACCCACTAGGGTGTGTGTGTGTGTGTGTGTGTGTGTGTGTGTGTATGTGTGTGTGTGTGTGAGTGTGTGTGAGTGTGTGTGAGTGTGTGTGTGGGGGGGGGCTGATTGGTCAACGGAAAAGTCCTCTCTTCATTGTCTTTCGGTATCGAGATTGTGGATAAAGTGGGTTGCTTGGGCCTGGCAGCCAGATAACAGATAACAGAGTTTTAGGTGATGATAAGTATGTTTGGAATAATATGTGCCATGTGCTTCCTGACGCTTTCCAGTGAGTACCCTCTGAGTGTGTGGGCACAGATGAGAGGACAGAAGTTTGTAAAGGTGAAATTCTAAGAATGACTCAGAGAGAATTAAAAGAGTGTTTTGCAGGTCATTGTGTCTGTCTATGAATGTGTGCGATGTATCAATCAAACTGAGCATGAGGTGGATGTCGGATACCTGTCAGACATTGATATTAGTCATTTCTGTCTGGGTGGAAACTTTTATGGTCCCATTGTGTCCTGAGAGAGGTCAATCAGCAATATGGGCCACATGTTAACAAATACCTTATTTAAAACTCTGCTCTTCACTCTTGGGTTTGAATTCTTGAAACTAAGCAGTTCCTTCCTGTGAAATAGGTTGTTGGCCACTATTTATTTCACAGGAACAAAATAGGATTAAAGAAAAAAAGTTCCCACAATTGACAAAGTCAATTATTTAATAAAATCATGCTTTTTTTCTGAAACATTTAGCATTTTACAACCCTCAGATTTATTATCTTCCAAACATTGAAAACATTTCACTGCATATCTTGCAGTTGGAAGAAGAAAAGGAGTAGCAAATTGTCAGTCTGAAAAATTGACATTTTGAAAAAAATAACTGAACAGGTCAAAGAGTGTTCAGCTTTTCTTTCTTGTTTGATGTCTACCAACACACCTTTTCCTTCATTTGTATACCACACATTGATTGCCTGACTACCACCCAATACAGACGGTGGCTTTATGACCATAACACTCGATAAAAAGGAAGAAGACTCATAGAGAGGCCATTTAACAAAAGAGAGTAAGCAAAGATTCACTCCTGTTTATCTCAAGCGATGCCTCACCTGCACGCCCAGGTTAATGCCCATAAAAGGGTTTCCTCCAGCAGGAAATGAGGGGGATCACAGGTTACATGGGCGTGCTGATTGTGACAGCCCAAGAGTGAAGCAATGGGAGTGGTGATAAGAGAAAGGAGCGCTATGTGAGATGGCGCTGTACACCTGAAACCTTTGGCATTCACCTTGTTGCCTAGCAAACCAAGCCATAATAATGACTCCGTGTTGCAAGTACTGTTACTGCGTGATCTGACTCTGTGTGTCATATAGACCTCCCTCTCTCCACCAGGTGGTGTGCCTACCTGTCTGTATGAGTAGATTGCACGTCATGTCCTGAGATTGCTTCAGCCAAAACACTTGTAAATGATATTCATCAGACATTAATAATCAAGTTCAACATGACTCACCTGTACTACATGTGTTTGTAATTATTGATATTGGCATAAGGCTTAATCACAGTGAGAAGCTCTAGATTATAACCAACATATATATAAACTGACTGAAAGAAGCTCAGAAAGAGATGTTTTCATTCATAGTGGAAATCATCAGTCTAGACTAGTCTAGTCCCTTTAGTGTCCCAGACCCCTCATGTCTAGGGAGGAAATTATTACTTGGAATATGAGTCTTTGCTCGTCTTAGACCAGGGTGCACATACACCATACACAAAAACACACTCGCATTATCCAGAGCTAGGATGAGGTAGCCAGATAATGATGTCATAGCATGATCACTTTAGCCGTCGTCCTCTTCCTCGCAGGACCTGGGTAGCAGATCAATGAGGAATGGAAGGAATGAAGAAGAGAGTGAGAGCGTGTGAGGGAAAACTGAGTTATCGAGAGGGACAGGCTCTTTACTGCTTTCATCCTGAATCACTCAGAGCTGATGACATGTCTCAACTCTTATTGATACCAGCCATGTCAGCTATTTGCTATACTGCTTCTTGGCTCAACTTGGAAAGAGATATTACACACAGAGGCTGCCGCCAACTTCAGAGAGGTCTGGCAGATATTAAAGTGAGAGAATCTCCTGGGAATCAACCTTTGGTCTCGTTCTGTGATTAGGTCCGTTATGAGTTGGTGTGTATGGGTCACTGGATTCTTCAAGCATGACGTGAAAGTAATGAGTCACAGCAGGGTGGCCTAGGCCTCACGGACTGCAGACGTTAATAAAACAGCTATTAGACATAAGAAGGGAAAGCAGTCACTTTAATGCATTAGTCTCTTTAACTGTATAGCTGCTTTAGCATCAAGTGGAGTGTGTGGAATCTCAAACATGGTCTGAAAAAT